GTCTGCCTCTGCATAGAAGCCCACGTGCTGCTCTGGGGATCACCAAAGGGCTGGTGTGAAGTAGCTATCTCTGGCACAAGCTTTTGGGGCAGAGCTTCTCTTACATTTCATTACTAACTTGTGCACACAGCAAGGGCATGTTAATGAGGTTACAAACAGGAGCGCTGCCAGCCAGGCAAGGGATCAAAATACATGGAAAACCACCTTGATGCTCATAGGAATAGAGGAGACACGTTCATCACTCCCACCTCCAGTGAGCTCAAAGCTCACCAGAGAGAAGGGAAGAGTGCCACCTTCAGCAACACAAGTCCAAGGCTAGGAAAGGTAAGGGACCTTCTGGAGTGCACCACCTTCACTGTTTCCTCCCCAATGTGTATTACTGCAGGTCTGGTCCAGATCCTGCCTGGAGCCGAGGCACAGCCCCAGTCCCAGACCGAGATAAACACAGGAGGGTCTGACCCCAGGTCCATTTCTTATTAAAGCCCACAGTCTTCAGCATAAACTCTCAAGTCAAGTCCTCTGAAATCTCCCCTCTGATTTACCAACATGTGGGAACAAGCTCAGTCACTCTGCACCTGCACTTAGGTAATGGGAATCCAAAGGGAAGATGGACCTTGCCTAAGTGCTTTGAAAGGGACAATGTTGTGTTTCTCCAAGTGGAAAACCACTTGGAACAGTCTGCATGGTAGCGTGTGATTTTCTGTCGTGGCTGAACACAGCCACCACCTGATGCCAGTGTGAATGTGTGGGATCGGGGCACTGGTTTAGGACAATCCTGGGAATTCCAGCTAACTAAAGAAAAACACCAAGTCCTGTTTACCAGAGAATATGAATAAAAGGGGAATGCTGAAAAGGATGGGTGGACAAGTCCCAAAATCGGACTCTGTGTGTGTGCAGCTCCATTTTTCTTTCAGCATCCATACAACAGATGATGAAGTGGTTCACACACAAAGTCACTCCCTCCTTCTGTCAGCACACTTGTCTGCCTCTCCATAACCAACAGAAAGCTTTGGTCTGACAACTGCCCATGGAACACAAAGAATCCATACAATGGCTCTCCAGTGCTCAGCTCTCTTCCAGCTCTCTGGCACCACCAGCTTTTCCCATCCCACCACACCTGAGGAATCTGCAGCCAATTCTTCTCTTGCAACTGAAGAGCAACAGACTTGACGGACCCAAATAAGCCATAGTTCTCTCAGATACGGATTTCAGATTTTTTAGGGCAGCAAATAACATGTGGAAAATTCCGTCACTTTTTTCTCCTGTTTTTAAGCAAATAGCACCTTGCCAAGAGCAAATCCCAGTGGGACCTTCCTCCAAGTGTGCCATAGCTGACTATGGTTACACACCCCTGCTGCACAGTCTCTCCACGGGCAGATTTTGGTTTAAGGTGGATTGCACCATGTCCATCCAACAGCCTCCACCACTGCTAGTGGAGAACAAGCTAGTGGCCCCCGCTCCAGCCCCTAACGTGTTATCTCCACCACGTGCCAGTCCTGCTGCTGTTCCCCTCCTGCCACAGGTTCCATCTCACCCCAGCCATACCAGGCTGCCCCTTCTCATACCTCAAACTCCCCTTGGTCCAGGCCACAAGCCCCGAGAAACCACTGCCCAGCACACTGGTCTGACATGATGCTGCTGGAGGTGTGACTTCCACTGCTGTCGTAGTTGTAGTATTTTCCTGGAAAAGGTGGGAAACATCAAAATCAATAGTTTAGGATACTGGCTATCCCTACATTCCTCTCGGCGTGGCAGAAACCCAGCAGCTTTTTCCACAAGGCTCTTCTCCTTCCTTTCCTACATCATCATACCCTTCCTGTTCCCTCTCCAGTACCTACTCCTTCCCTTCCACTTGGAGGGGCAGCATGTCCCTTCCTTCCACCACTCCCTACAAAGGCTCCGTGATCCAAGGAGCAGCCATTGCCCTCCCAAGGGATGCGTGGCCAGCTGAGCGTGGTTTCCCACCAGCGAGCACCCACCATTCCAGAGCATCCTCTCAAATGCCTCCTTGCCCTTGCTCAGGATGGCCATGTATTTCTGCTGGATCTCTGCATCCCCGAGCACCTCGGCCATCTTGCACATCATGCAGACAGCAGCCAGCCACAGCCCGCCACAGTAGGCACTGCCAGAGCCAAAGGAGAGAAAGATCAGCAATGTGGGACACCCCATTGGCTGCACAGAGCTCCCACAACAAATGGGGACCAAGGGCCCAGCTCTGAGCTCCCTCCCCCACCCACAGCCCCCATCTCCAACCCCTCCTCGCCCCTCTTGCTCACCTGGCTCCATGTACCACCCACGCATCGTACGTCTGGTCAGCAAAGCCTCCGTTTTCAATGAGCCCGTCATTGTCCGTGTCAAACTTCAGCTCCGACTCCATCACAGTCTGTGGGAGAGGCAGGAGATGGTCGTGCCTCGGGAGCATCCATCCCCTCGGGAAGTCGCTTGGCTCCCAAGGGAAGTGGGAAAGGATTGATGCCCCATGGTCTGATCTCCTCCCAGTACCTGGCAGACCGGCCACATGTCCCGCAAGTACAGGGAGTCATGTGTCAGGTAGTAGTCACGGTACACCTGCAGCACAAACTTCAGGTTGAGGTCCTTCCAGTCGGCCGTGTCGTGCATCAGGTAGGCATTGACACGCTGCCACGGCTCGTCACCTAAGCACGGACAGAACGGATGCAGCAGGGCAGCACACAACAAACATCCCCTCTCCCACCCAGGAACAAGGTCCCAAAGGCACTGGGATCAAACAGCACTGAAATAATATGTTCTACCCTGTGCCATTTCCAGTAAGAACAGCCTTCCTACTACTGTTATTCCTCTTGTACAAGCTCCATGCAGCACGGCTTTCATCACCACCCCAAAACATCCAGCATTTCATTCCCAGAAAACAGAGAATCATAGAATCATTTAAGCTGGAAAAGATTTCTAAGATCGAGTCCCACCATTAGCCCAGCACTGCAAAGTCCACCACTGAACAATGGCCTTAAGTGCCACATCTACCCATCTTTTAAACAGCTCTGGGGATGATAAACCCACCACTTCCCTGGGCAGCTTGTTCCAATGCTTGACAACAACAAACAGTGTATTCCATGAACCATACCCATTTCCCACAGCTTGGGACTTAACTACCCTAAGGAAATGGTACGAGCAGCCTTGCACCCCCCTCTGCCTCCCAGCAGGCCCAGACAGACCCCTCACCTGGGTCCCCAATGTCGTGTGGCACCACGTTCTTCAGCTTCACCTGGGC